ACCGCTGCAGCCTCCCCTGCCGGGCGGTGCGCGCCGCCTTCAGCCTCCAAGCCGGTTCCCGGCACAGTCCCGTAGCCCCGATGCCTGGCCCATCGTCTGCGAGCCAGAGAGCAGAGCCTGCCGCCTGCCTGCCAGAGAGCAGAATAGTAACAAGCGTGCGGTGAGTCACCCTCGGTCCTCGGCGCAAGGGACTTGGCAGGAACCGAATACAGAGGCTGGGCTCTTCGGTCAGGATTTCCAATCTCACCTGTCGTGAAAATATCGATCATGTTTGTCAGGAATATTAGGCCAGAACTCTCTGGTCTAGAGACAGCTGTCATCCGGCATGATTCCAGTTAGCCCGGTGTCCGCTTTTCATGGGTGTGGGGCTGTCCCATCGAGTTTGTTCCAATCTCACCTGTCGTGAAAATATCGATCATGTTTGTCAGGAATATTAGGCCAGAACTCTCTGGTCTAGAGACAGCTGTCATCCGGCATGATTCCAGTTAGCCCGGTGTCCGCTTTTCATGGGTGTGGGGCTGTCCCATCGAGTTTGTTTACAAACTTGCCAGAGGATGATGTGAAGACCGGGACTTTAACAGGGTTCAAGAAAGAGCCAGATAAATTCACGGAGGTTAAGTCCATCAATGGCTATTACTCAGGATGTGTAGGATCAGTGTCCCTGTTCTCTGTCTGGGTGGAAATGGATGACAGGAGAGGGATCAAGTGAGGATTACCTATTGGCTGTGTCTAGACTGGCCAGTTTTTCCGGAAAATCAGCCACTTTTCCAGAAAAACTTGCCAGCTGTCTACACTGGCCACTTGAATTTCCACAAATTAAAGTGCTACATTGTCCTGCATTTTGCTTCAGCTACCCCAGACTAACACGGCTACATTTCTATCACAAAAGCACTGACTTCCTACTGTAAGAAATCAGTGCTTCTTGCGGAAATACTATGCTGCTCCCATTTGGGCAAAAGTCCCTTTTGCGCAAAACTTTTGTGCAAAAGGGCCAGTGTAGACAGCTGAGATTTGTTTTCCGCCAAAAAGCCCCGATTGCGAAAATGGCCATTGGGCTTTTTTGTGCAAAAGCGCGTCTAGATTGGCCACGGATGCTTTTCTGCAAAAAGTGCTTTTGCGGAAAAGCGTCCATGCCAGTCTAGACGCTCTGTTCCGAAAATGCTTTTAACGGAAAACTTTTCCGTTAAAAGCATTTCCGGAAAATCATGCCAATCTAGACGTAGCCTTTGTGTTCCCTCCCTCTGAGGCATCTGGCATTGGCCACTGTTGGCAGACAGGATACTGAGCTAGATGGACCTTTGATCTGAGCCAGTCTGGCTGTTCTTATGTTCTTATATTCATTTGTAAACCACTCCTAGCTCTCAGTGTTTGGTGCTATTTAGTTCTAATTTACCCCTAAACGACTTCTAAGAGCCCAGTAACCAGTGGAAGTGTTGCTAATGCTCCTAGATAATATTGGCCTCCCATGGTCAGGTCCCAAGGACGCCAAACGAAAGAGGTTCAAGCTGAGTAACACTTGATTGGAAAGAATAATTTCAGTATCTATTTTCCGTCAAGTTTTCTAACCCGGTTATTGATGCTTTTAAAATGAGATTTTAATAACTTACAGCTGCTTTTTCTGGAATAGTCAGAATGGGAAAGAAAGTGACTCTTTTAGTTGGCTTGGAGTTCAGTTTCAGTATTTTCACCCCAACCCAATGGGGCAAGTCTTGTGAATACTTGCTACATATTTGCCAGCAGGGGCTTCAGGGTATGGCCAAACCTGCTTTCCAAATAAAGGTATTCCTGAGTTTCCACTCCATCCAAATTAAGCTATTAGTTTTTGGAGTAAGTGTGAATGGCAAATTTCTGCTGAGTAATCGATTTTAATTCTGAATACTGAAATAGCCACTTGTATGGCTTTATTATCTGAGAACTTCCTTTAGCTCTCTAATTATTGCTTTGCTAACAGTATTTATTTGAGAGAAAACATTTTCCTGTCTCTCCTGGAAAATGTGTCATCTCTCCAGAGTCTGAATAGTAGGGTTATCAATGCGTAAATGGTTACACAATTAACCAATAAGCCTGAGCTTATCAATTAATCTTGTCAACTACACCCCTCTCACCCCCCGCTCCCCCGCTATCTCTGTTTTGGGGACTACTGAATTGTCATATAACTGCTAAACATTAATGCAGTTACATAACTATTCAATTACACGCTATCTAACATCCCGACTGAATACCAGAACAGGGAGGCAGTAACAGAAGCATCCACTCAATGTGCAAGAGCAGTCAAAAAAGCAAACAGAATGCTAGGAATCTTTTTAAAAGGGATAAAGAATAAGGCAGAGAATATCTTATTGCCTCCATATAAATCCATAGTACGCCCACATCTTAAATACTGCATGCCGTGGTCGTCTCATCTCAAAAAAGATATCTTGGCATTGGAAAAAGTTTAGAAAAAGGCAAGAAAATGATTAGGGATCTGGAACGACTGTCATGTAAGGAGAGATTAATAAAACAAGGACTTTTCAGCTTGGAAAAGAGATGGCTAAGAGGGGATATGACAGAGGTCTATAAAATCATGACTGGTGTGAAATCAGTAAATAAAGTTATTTACTTGTCCCTATAACACAAGAACTAGGGGGTGACTAAATGAAATTAATAGGTGACAGGTTTCAAACAAACAGAAAGAAAGATTTCTTCATGCAACGCACAGTCAACCTGTGGCCCCGATGCCTGGCCCATCGTCTGCGAGCCAGAGAGCAGAGCCTGCCGCCTGCCTGCCAGAGAGCAGAATAGTAACAAGCGTGCGGTGAGTCACCCTCGGTCCTCGGCGCAAGGGACTTGGCAGGAACCGAATACAGAGGCTGGGCTCTTCGGTCAGGATTTGGGGGAGCGGATCCCCTCCGCCTGCGTTTACACACGTCCCGAGTTGGCGGCTCCAGGCGCCGAACCGCCCCGGCGGGGGGGCCCCCAACTG